ATTAGCACTATTTTGTACTATTTAGTAATTAGTGTTTCACGGATTAATTGTTTGCACTCTATTGTTATTACTATGATTATTATCATTATTTTTATTTTTATTTTCGCCCACAGAAACTGTTAAAAGATGCTAAAACAATTTGGAATAAAATGAAAGACGTTAACGACAAAGACATATACATGACACATGATGGTGAGAACTACTCAGTAGACATACTCCAAGAATACTTTAGAGATATGAGTAATGAATAGTATCATCCGCAGCCTTCATTAGTTTCGGTCCCAGATCCTCGCTTTAGTGGAGAGGGCCCGTGAGGATCTGGGACCGAAACTAATGAGGACTGTGAAGGAGACTATATGATGAATGTTTCCAAACAGCATCTTTATATTTACGGTGCTACTATTTTGAGCGTGTCTCTGTCCTCTGATACAAGCCAGCCAATCAGCGCGCGCATTATATCGCAAATATTTTACAAGCCAGCCAAAACGAGTGTAGTATCTTGATTGATAAGTAAGCAGTTAAGGTATTAGGATACGTTTACGACCACTATGCGCGCAAAYTTAAATAACGCGCTGGCTTTATAGTATAACACAAACAAAGTATACATTTTCTGAAAGCTGAGTAAATATAGTTTATGAAGAAATCTTCAAAATACGATTATTGTTTTTATTGTTGTTCACATTATTGTCCTTGAAGCGAAATTTGACCATGCCTCAGTGAAAACGTTAACGGACACGTACATTTTAAGCTATGTTTGCGATACATACTCAGGAGATAATAAGCTCAAAAAAGGTGTCCCAGATTTTTGATATCTGCTTTCTTTCTCTTGCTATTTTTGATCAAAGTTCAGCGATCGCTTTTGGAGTGTTGTTTAGAGTAAAAAGCGTCATAACTTTGGAAAGAAATTAAATTTCAAAATTCGGAGACACCCTTTTTTGGATCATGAGTTACTTTATAAACTCTCCAAATTTTAGAAAAATCGAATGAAATCCAAGGGACTTTTAGCTTTTTGAAGTTGAGGTTTTAGCGGAAAAAAGATTCGAAAAAAATGCATTTCTTTGTTTGGAGCCGGAAGCTGCAGGGAGCCACGATGGTGTTGGCCAAAACACCTTGAGCCTTCCATTTTGTCATCACTTGTCAAATTATATGGTGTTCTGGACGATCGCAATGTAGGATCTTTTTACAATGACAAAGGAGCATGGCCGATGCGCACATATTAAGCGACGGTACATTTCCGGTCTTGATAAAGTCACGATTTCGATTTTTCTCAAAATTTGGCTTTTCCAATCAAGAATTGCAAGAAGTTTCAC